TGACAAAGCATTATTCTGCTGCTATCCTACCACATCCTTTAAAAAAAGAAAAAGAAAAATGCCGACTCCTGAACTTTACATTTGCAATGTTTGCAAGTGGCACTTCTCCAAAAGATAGGGAAAATTTCACTCCAAAGTACATAAACGATTCTTCCTACTGCTGCCAACTATATATACACACACACGCTCACAGCCAAGAGAAGTTTAATGGGGAAGAGATGACAATCAAGACTTAGTTCAGACATGCAGGAGACGGAGATGGTAGAACAGAGTGCATTAAGAGCCAAAAAGGTTACTTGGATGCAAATTAAGGGGCCCAATATTAATTTCAGTAAGTATAAAACATCAATATCTAAATAATACAAATTATACAAAAATGTATGTATTTATTACAAATTGGTTTAAAAACAGCTATATGCCCAAACATAGCCTCGATAAGCATTTAAATCATACAATATTCACAATTAGAACCTTATGGGACCCTAAAACAGATGCGTTTCGACCTACTAGCCTTCTTCAGTGGTCAAACATAAATGTCACACATAGGCTCAATTATTGCAATTATTGCAATCGCAATAATAATATTAGTCCATATAGGACCAAGTAAAAATTTTGTTCTGATAAATATCAGTGACTCAAAGGCAAGGAGGAAGGAGGAGGAGGAGGAGGAGATTGGATTTATACCCCGCCCTTCACTACCCGAAGGAGTCTCAGAGCGACTTCCAAACTCCTTTCCCTTCCCCTCCCCACAACAGACACCGTGAGCAGTGTTCCCTCTAAGCTGAGTTAATGTGAGCTAGCTCACCGTTTTTTAGCCTCCGGTTCATACGTTTTTATCTTAGCTCAGGAAGGATGGCTCCGGAGCCAACTAATTTATGCAATAGCCAAATCGCTTGCTCACAACTTTAATGCCAGTAGCTCATAAAGTAGAATTTTTGCTCATAAGACTCCACAGCTTAGAGGAAACATTGGTAGGTGGGGCTGAGAAAGCTCTGACAGAAACTGCTCTTTTTCAAGAACAGCTGTGCCAGAACTATGGCTTGCCCAAGGTCACCCAGCAGCTGCAAGTGGAGGAATGGGGAATCAAATCCAGTTCCCCCAGATTAGAGTCCGTGCACTTAACCAATACATCAAACTGACTCTCATCAAACAGGCCTCATATGGAATCGCCTTATGTCCAAATCAGGCACATGTAACCCAAATGGTGTTTCGATTGTTTACCTTCCTAGAGGGAATTAATTTAGAGAGAGAATCAATTTAAAAAGTGATCTGGATCCAGTGTAACATATAGACCATTACGTTACATATTGCTCCATATTGCTTTTTAAATATCATGTGAGGCCTATACAGTACATCCTTGCCTTGAGACAAGCCTGTTTTCCCCTTCTGCATCCACAGCAGGAAGAAAAGACCAACAGAAGCAGTCAGCATGAAAGCCCAACATCCAACAGGTCCATAACCGACAGAAAATCAAGAGAAGGCATCTATAAACACAGTCTTCCAAGGCCAACTAAGCTAGTTTTAGAGGGTAGCCAGTGTAGGTCTGCATTAGAACAGCTAAATTCGATACCTGACAAAAGGAGCCTTGGTGCTCAAAAGCTTCTACCCCAAAAATCTTTTCGGTCTCTACGGTGCTACTGGGTTCAAGGCCTGCTAAGGCCATCAGAAGCCCAGGTCCTCAATTAAAGGGAAAACAAAGTTGTCAATAAGACTCACAGTGGCATCGCAAGCAGAGTTATACCTTTCTAAGCCTACGGGTTCAATGGACTTAGAGGGACATTTACTCTGTTTAGCATTGCACTGTAACACTGTGGGTTTGGACTGGGGGGGGGGGAAACAATGCCTAGGTGTGCATTATTACTAACCCACAATCCTGCCCACAGAAATCCTGTTCACAAATTCCAATGAACACCTGTACAATCTGTGTTGAGTAATTCTCACATTACGTTCAATTCCCATTCAGATCAACATGCAATTTAAAACCTGCAGTAATCCATGTACTGAACTCCAGTTTCATTTGGAAAGTGAAAATGCGTAGCCTCTCTCTTACAAACAGGTGTATGTACATAGAATCATAGAGTTGGAAGGGATCTCCAGGGTCATCTAGTCCAACCCCCGGCACAAGGCAGGAAATTCACAAATACCTCCCCCCCACACACCCCAGGGACCCCCGTTCCACTCCGAGAAAAGATGACAAAAAAACCTCCAGGATTCCCGGCCATACTGGCCTGGAGAAAAATTGCTTCCTGACCCCAAAGTGGCGATCAGCAGGGGTCATTTCCTGCAGGAGCACACAGGAGTGGAGCTCCGGCAGTAAAAAGCCAAGGGGGCGGGCACATGCAACAAGCCCCAAAACAGTGAGTCCAGTGGCACTTTTAAGACCAAGTTTTATTCAGGTAAAAGCTCTCCCTCCTCTGCGAGGACAGATTTGCACGTCCCTCCCCCCATAGCTAGCAATCCAAAACAGTCCAGTGGAGCCTGAGCAGTGGGTGTTGCCTTCTGACACACTTCCGGTGATGTCAGGGGGTGTGGCATATGCAAATAAGTTATGCTAATGAGTTATGTCAACGAGCTCCTGCAGCTCTTTTTCTACGAAAATGGCGATCGGCATTTCCCTGGGCGTGTAAGAAAGGGCCACCAGAACTAAGCACTGAGGCAACCCTTCCTGCCCTCCCTCTCATGATCTGCCTAAATTCATAGAATCAGCATTGCTGTCAGGTGGCCACCTAGCCTCTGTTCCACTGCCAGGAAGCTCTTCCTAACTGCCAGGAAGCTCTTCCTAACATTTAGCCGAAAACTGCTGATTTTATTTCGACCCGTTGGTTCTAGTCCGACCTTATGTGCAGGATGTACGTGGGTTCGCTATATCGTCTGAATCTGGCTAAAAAGTGAACTGGGGAGGAAGCACCGTGAAGTTACGCCAACAGCAGGCCCCAAACTGGTGCATGAATAGGGTGCGCGCAAAGAAGCAATGTTGGGGAACGCCAGCTCAATATTGTGACCTAGAGTAGTAGCACCATACTCGTTGACAAAGCACAGCACAAGTCCCGCTGGTTTTATCCCACCTTTCAATCTCATGGGACATCTTTGAGAAAGTCTGCAGCCACCAAGGAGAAACCTATCTCTGCACTGGGGAACACATCCCAAAGACCAAGGCTGAGATCAACAGGAAACCTTCAAGTCAGAGAGGGGTGTGTCTGTCTCACCTTGTTCAGATGGGGGTTCCTGGTGATGTCATAGCCCCTCTTCTTGATTGTGGCGGCTTTCGTAGGGCGATGGGAGGCCCCTCCGAAGTGGCAGCCCCTCTCCTGGGGGAAACTGGGAAGCTGAAGCTGGTGCACGGCCCCCGCCGCCCGAAGAAGGGGGGCGAAGCTTCTGCTAGAAAGGGGCATGAGCAGCATCTTCTCCAGAGCGCAGGTGGACGGCTTTCACCTGCAAAAGAGAGCATTCCAGATGAGTAAATGAGCAGCCCCCTGACCTGGATGGCCCAGGCTAGGCCAATCTCGTTAGACCTCACAAGCCAAGCAGGGTCGGCCCTGGTTAGTATTTGGATGGGAGGCCAGGCCACCCAGGAAGCCCAGGGTTGTGACGCAGAGGCGGGCAATGGCAAACTTCCTCCGAAAGTCTCTTGCCTTGAAAACCCCAAGGGGTTGCCAGAATTCAGCTGTGGCTTGACAGCAAAAATCGATTAAAACTGAGCTGCAAAATTAAACAGGAGACCAGCGGCAGGTTAAGGGCTAACTGCCTTTATTCCCGTTTCTACACACCTGACCAAGCGAGCTTTTGCTTGTGGAAAGCTTATCCTGGGATCAAGTCTCTAATGGGCCACTGGACTCCTGTTTCATCTTGCAAACCCTGAACCAGGTGGATCCAGCCCCGGGAAGGGCTATCTGTAAGTCTCCACCAATGTTCCCTCTCAGCTGAGTCAGTGTGAGCTAGCTCACCGTTTTTTTAGCCTCCAGCTCACACATTTCTGTCTTCCCTCAGGAAGGACGGCTCCGGAGCAAACTAATTTATGCAGTAGCCAAACCGCTCGCTCACAACTTTAATGCCAGTAGCAGCTCACAGAGTAGAATTTTTGCTCTCAAGACTCCACAGCTCAGAGGGGGCATTGGTCTCTACTCCCCCCCCCCTCCCCTCGGTTACCCGGTCCCCCCTGGCCACCAGCAGGAGATGGGAGGGTAAGGTTGCCAGATCCAGGTGGGGAAACTCCTGGAGATTTGGGGATGGAGCCTGGGGAGGACAGGGATCTCAGTGGGGCGCAATGCCACAGAGTCCACCCTCCAGAGCATCCATTTTCTCCAGGGGAAACTGATCTCTGTGGTTCGGAGAGGAGCTGGAATTATTCCCGGGGGTGGGGGGGATCCCCAGGTCCCCCCTGGAGGCTGGCCGACCCACCACGCCCCCCTGACCTCCATGCATGCAAATGCAAACGAAGCACGGCTTACGGGGAGAGGGTCGCGCGTTTTCCTTTCTCCGGCTTCTTCTGCCGCTCAGGCGCATCCAGGAGCCCGGAGAGGAGGCGACCCCGCCAAAGCGAAAGCAAACCCCAGGAAGCGGATCAAGTAACCGCCTTGCGAGCCGGCGACTGGCTGCGGCGCCTCCGCCTCCCGGCCGGGCTGTCCTTCCTTCGCCCGCACCTGTTAAAGAGCTGATGCTCCCGGGAGGAGGAGGAGGAGGAGGAGGAGGGGCCGGCGGCTTCCGTTCGCTGGCCGTGGAGGTCGTCACGCCGGAGAGAGGGGCAGTCGCGTCCGTCTGGGGTCTGCACAGAGCCCCCCACTCCCTCCCCATCGGTGGGGACGCTTCGGCAGGCCCGGCTCTGTTTCCTGGATTGGACCTGCCTGATAGGAGACCGGCCCCTCCCGAGACACAAGTGTGGAACGGACGAGGCTCGGGTTTGGTGAGCCTGGGAAAGGCCTGGGTTCCAATCCTCACGCTGCCCGGCAGTTTGCTGGGTGACCTTGGGTTAGGCCCTCCCCGCAGGCTCGCCGCTTTTGCAGGCAGGGTTGTACCAGCCTCCGGGGAGGAGGAGGGGGGGCTGGAGACCTCCTAGTTTGGGGGTTGCCAACTCTGGGTTGGGAAATACCTGCCTAGCCTGTAGCAACGGTGGGGTTATTGGGAGTTCCACCCCCTTCCTTCAAGGACCAGCCCCCCTTCCTTTGGTTGAGGTCAGCGAGGGTTCCTTACATCTGCCCAGCACCCTCCCCTTCCTCCCCCAAAACTGAATGCTACATATATCATCTTGTTCTTAAAATGTTTATGTTTGAATGTTTTTAATACTGAATTTTTGTGGCTCTAAAATAGAAGAGAAGAGACTGGATTTATACCCCGCCCTTCACTACCCAAAGGAGTCTCAGAGCAGCTTACAAACTCCTTTCCCTTCCCCTCCCCACAACAGACATCCTGTGAGGTAGGTGGGGCTGCGAGAGCTCTTGACAGAAACTGCTCTTTTTCAAGGACAGCTCTTATCAGAACTATGGCTTGCCCAAGGTCACCCAGCCAGGTGCAAGTGGAGGAGTGGGGAATCAAACCCGGTTCTCCCAGAGGTAAAGGGCAGTAAGAAGAAGAAGAGATTGGATTTACTATTTCACTACCCAAAGGAGTCTCAGAGCGGCTTACAAACTCCCTTTCCCTTCCCCTCCCCTCCCCTCCCCTCCCCACAACAGACACCCTGTGAGGTAAAAGAAGAAGAGGAGGAGACTGGATTTATAAAGGTAAAGGTAAAGGTTCCCTTGCTCGAAAGCCAGTCGAATCCGACTCTAGGGTTGCGGTGCTCATCTCCGTTTCAAAGCCGAAGAGCCAGCGCTGTCCGAAGACGTTTCCGTGGTCATGTGGCCGGCATGACTAAACACCAAGGCGCACGGAACGCTGTTACCTTCCCACTGAAGTGGTACCTATTTATCTACTTGCAATTTCTTGCTTTCGAACTGCTAGGTTGGCAGGAGCTGGAACTAGAGACAGGAGCTCACCCTGTCTTGCGGCACCCGGGTCTTGAACTGCTGAACTACTGACCTTCCACAGCCCCCCGCCCTTAACTACCCAAAGGAGTCTCAGAGCGGCTTACAAACTCCCTTTCCCTTCCCCTCCCCACAAGAGACACCCTGTGAGGTGGGTGGGGCTGTGAGAGCTCTTGACAGAAACTGCTCTTTTTCAAGAACAGCTCTTATCAGAACTATGGCTTGCCCAAGGTGCAAGTGGAGTGCGGAATCAAACCCGGTTCTCCCAGATTAGAGTCCGCGCACTTAACCACGACACCAAACTGGTGTATTGAATTATTCTGTTGTAAACCGCCCTGAGCCCCGCGTAAGTGGGGAAGGGTGGTCAAGAAATCTAATGAAATAAATAAATAAAGGCCCCCTGCTTCTTAAAGGCCCCCGTCAGCTGGAGGGCCCTTTACATCTTGGAGAAGGGAGGGAGAGGGGCACGCGGTGCCCCCCGTTCCTTAGGGCAAATAATGGCAGCCCCAACCGAAAAAATTTTGCCCCACAAGCCACAAAATCCTGGCTATGGGCCTGATACCTGGAGATTTTGGGGGTGGAGCTTGGGGATGGGTGGGGTTTGTGAAAGGGAGGGGCTGCAGCAGGATATAATTCCATAGAGTCCACTCTCCAAAGCAGCCATTTTCTCCAGGGGAACTGATCTTGGTTGTCAGGAGATCTCCAGGTGCCACCGGGCGGTTGGCAACCCCACCTGGCTTTGCAGCAAATCTCCAGACTCCAGCAATCAGGACCCTTCGAGAAAATGGCTGCTTTAGTAGGTGGACTCATTGTGTCATGCTGAGACTCCTCCCCTCCTCAAACCCAGCCCTCTCCAGGCTCCACCCCCCCCCCCAAATCTCCAGGTATTTCCCAAGCCACCCTAAAATTTATCACAGGGCTGTTGTAAGGATAAAAAGTGTGTGTGTGTGTGTTCATTTCTCCAGCTCCTTGACGAAAGGATGTGGTAAAAAAAAGTAATCAAGGGCTCTCCACACAGATTTTTCTCCACCTTGCTTCCCATAATTTCCATGTGATGGAAGTTCCGTAAACGTCCCATTGCCAGGTTTCCCCCATTCCCAGTATGCTTTACTCCAATGTTTCTTCAAAAGAATGTGGTTCAAGTATGTTAGGCTGCCATCTTGAAGCAGAGTTGCCAGTTTACGGCACTGTATCATGGTGTTCTGGAATTACAACTGGCCTCCAGACTGCAGAGATCAGTTCCCCTGGAGAAAATGGTGGCTTTCAACAGTGGATTCTGTGGTATCACTTCTCTGCTAACTTCCACTCCCTTCCCAGACTCCATCCTCCACATACTCTGTCCCCCAGGACTTTTAAGTGATTTTCTCTGGACCAGAATAGGAAGGTACATGTAGTGTATTCAGAGCTGCCTTGAATGCATGATATGTTGTGAAACATCTAATTGGAATGTAATGTAAAGCTTCGTCCACCCAAATCCAAATCCATCCAATCGTGTTACTAGCCCAGGAAGCACCTAACCAATCACCTTCTAGCAAGCTCCCTGAGCGGGAACATCCGTGATTGGTCCTTATGTGAACAACCTTATTGGTTGGTATTTGTACAGTGGGTGTGGTTACATTAGCCAGGAATGTTTAAAAGCAGGACAGCTGCAAGGTAAAGGCTGTTCTGGCTATCAGATGTTGATCCGTGTTGGAGTTATGTTCGAGTTGAAGAATAAAGTTGTGTTCTTGCTGAATCACTCTCTGACTGCTTTGTTGAGTGACTTAACAGTACACAATTGAATTACCACTCAAGATACGTATACCTGACTAGGGCAGGTGTTTTCAAATGAGGCCTTTTCATTACATCTCTGCCTTGAGTCTCAGACATTGATTAGAAAACAATCCCAACTTGGTCCTATATTGTGTAATTATTGTAATATTATTGCAGTGTTTAGAGCTAATGCGTAATAACTATGCTTGACCACTAAGGCCGAAACGTGTTTGGTCAGGGTCGCATAAGGTTTGTGTTTCAGATTACTGTGTGCTATTAATCTGAACTGAGGCTATATTTGTGCCTGCAGTTGTTTTTTAATCATTTTGTAATAAATTCACGTATTTTTGTATATTTCAGAGAATCATAGAGTTGGAAGAGACCTCCGGGGTCATCTAGTCCAACCTCCAGTTGGAAATTCACAAATATCTCCCCCACACACACCCCCAGTGACTGCTGTTCGACACCCAGAAGATGACAAAAAACCTCCAGGATCACCAGCCAAAACTGGCCTGGAGAAAAATTGCTTCCTGGCCTCAAAGTGGCGATCGGCATTTCCCTGGGCGTGTAAGGAAGGGCCACAAGAACTAAGCACTGAGGCAACCCTTCCTGCCCGCCCTCTCCTGATCTGCCAAAGTTCACAGAATCAGCATTGCTGTCAGATGTCCATCTAGCCTCTGCTTGAAAACCTCCAAAGAGGTTCCGTTATTTAAATACTGGGCCCTTCAATTTGGATTCATTTAACCTTCTAGGTCCTTAATTCTTCTGCGTTCAGTTTTCTCTCTCCCCCCCCTCCCCTTTTTTTGTCCTTTTGTGCATTTTCTTGCCCACATCACTACCAAGTCCCCACCATCAGTCCCTCGTGGGCACCCTTTTCCACGTAATCTTTTCCGGGGTTATTTTGAAGAGAGAAAAAAGGCACTTGTTGTAGCACTTTACTATTATAACCAATCGACTGCCAGTTATCTATTTCTGATGTTAACAGAATAGTTATGACGCATGTGTTGGGAAAGATGTACAAGAAAAAGGCCAGCAAGTTACCATGGCAGCCTATGACTGCCCTCCTGGGGCAGTGTGGTATATGTGTGGACACAGGTCATTTCGTAGAAAAGGAGGAGCAGGAACTCATTAGCATAACTCATTAGCATGACCTATTTGCATATGCCACACCCCCTGATATCACCGGAAGTGTGTCAGAAGGCAACTCCCACCGCTCAGGCTCCACTGGACTGTTTTGGATTGCTAGGTATGGGGGGGGACTGCACAGATCTGCCCTCACAGAGGAGGGAGAGCTTGTACCTGAAGGTGGGTCGGGGGGGGGGGCTCTGCAACTTACTTGACTGCTTCTTGCTCCTCATGGCCCGACTGAGGGTTGCTGGGAGCAGGGGGTGGGGCTTGTTGCATGTGCCCGCCCCCTGGGCTCCTTACTGCCGGAGCTCCGCTCCTGTGCGCTCCCGCAGGAAATGACCCCTGCGTGTGGTTAGGGAAAATGGGGGCGGGGGAGGCAGAGGAAAGGAGGAAGAACAGTTCCCACGTGTAGAAGCACTGCCGCCAGTGTGCGTGCCTCCGCATTCCCCACTGCGACGGAAGCAACGTGGCGAATCCTCGCCACTGTGGAAGCAGCCATGCACAGAAAACATTTTTCTCTTGCATTTTGGTCAAAGCAAATAATATTTAAAAAGTGACTTGTAATGTTATGGATGCCCTGACCCGGATGGCCCAGGCTAGCCTGATCTCATCAGTTCTCAGAAGCTAAGCAGGGTTGACCCTGGTTAGTATTTGGATGGGAGACCTCCAAGGAAATTGAGGGACGCTA